CATGTAGTTGTGTAAATGCTGGTTAAGTCATTTAACAATCATTACTGAGTGCCCTTCTGTTCAAATCAGTGTGCACATACTGTGTAACTGTGCAGTGATTTCACTTTGAGGTGGGATGTGGGGGATGTAAGGGGATTTTCCCAGTGAATTCATGACCACTTCCCTTCCTTTGAATGGAACATGTCTTTATAAAGCTGTCCAAGGTCCAGACGGAGGCCTGGGCAACTCCACTGACCAGAGCATGAATACTTTACAGAGTTCTAGTGTTTTGTGTTTTGGAGGAGGATACGAATAGTCCTCGTCATAGACACATGAAGAAGACTGGAATGCTTAAAAATTCCAACTTGTTATCACAGATACCTTTTCTCTGATAGTTCAAAAGACCGTGTTGTGCAAAATGTCACACACACTTGCATTTACGTTTAAATTTGCTGAATGCTTCACTGCAACTTGGTGCCTTTCCATTGCCTCCTTTGAAGAAACACCTGCATCCAACTAGAATTTTAAAAGCCTCTGTAAAGTAATTCAATAGTGGTAAATTTACTATTTAAAAATGAAGCAGCCCTTTCCGTCTGGCGGCAGCCATCACATCCGGAGCTGTGGTGGAAGCAGCAGTCTGATGGAATGCGCTTTCCTCTGAGGGTACCGCCAGCTCTCCGCGCTCCACAGAGCTCCTTGCCCCACCTGGCTGGGTAAAGCGCGCAGACTGGGATACAAAGGTTACATCAGGATTCGCGTGTGCTGTGGTGGTCTCAAATGCCCAGTTGCAAGGGTGCAACCTATGGCAAGCCTGTGCATCGTCGTGTTAACCAGCTAAAGTTTGCTCGAAGCCTTCAGTCTGTTGCTCAGGAGCCAGCTGCATGCCGCTGTGGGGCTTTAAGACTCCTAAATTCTGACTGGATTGGTGAAGATTTGACGTACACATTTTTTGAGGTTACCCTCATTGGTCCATTCCATAAAGCTATCAGAAGAACGCCTGGCACCCAGTGGACCCAACCAGTCCACAAGCACAGGGAGATGCGCCAGCTGACATCTGCAGGTCACTTGGACAGGGTGATAAGGTCCACCACACTATTGGTGGTTCCCTCCGTGCAGCATGGAGAAGGAGCAATACTCTCCAGCTCCACCACCAATATAAGTAATGTTTGTAAAATTCATAACTTAATAAGCAATTTAGGATGAAAAAAAGAATCAATCCAAGAAATGTAATAGTTTTCTATTGAAGCAGTTGTTTTATAAAATATTCATGAGCAAAGGCACTTTTTTTTTTAAAAGTGGAGGCAACTTACTAAAGAAGAATTGGAAAGGATCCTTTAATATACACAAATAGATCAAATTGAAATTATCTGGAAAATAAATAGCTTCCAAGAAGCACACACCTATGGTTATTTTGAAGACAAAATAGAAATACCTAATTAAACAAAAAAGATTATTTCATCTTTAAATTTATAGGAATAGTCTTAATAAAGATACATTGAAATGAATAAAATTGCTCTAAAAGATTCAAAATGTGTTTAATTCTAGTTAACAAAATTATGAAATCCTAAGAATTTTGCCAGGGTGTGTGAGAATAATTAATACTGATAGACTGGAGATAATGCCAACTCCAAATCTTTGCCTTGTCAAACGGGGAAAAGCTACCCTAATGGATGTGAATTGAAACAGCACACATTAAAAACATACCTTTTACACAGAAGAGTTTCAATTAAGGTAAAAAAATCAGTATTTTAAATTAGTAAATTATAAGTGGAAAAATTTATAACATTTTCAAAATGGCATTAGTGAACTACTTCTATCTATCCTGGTCCCCATGACCAGATTAGGTATAGATGTAACTTAGTTATCCATATAAATTTACTGTATCTGTATATTTGTGCAAAGTTAAAACATTTAAATTGGATAACAAATTATCTGATCAATTAAAGCACTCACTATTATTTGGAAAACTAAATATTTGACCATAATGAATATCTTAATTATTTTGACATGTGAAATATATAATGTACTTCTTTTATATGAAGTTACATTTGAAATTCCCCTACATTTTATATTTAATAAACTGATTTATAAGAACAGTGACTTTGTTCTTTTTAAAAATGAATTTTGAACTACCTAAAAATTAAAAAATTTCTGATCTAAAGGTCATTATTGCCATCTGCTGGTTAGGTGGTTTAATTGCATTTTTCACAATAATCCATAGCTTTACTAAAAGGCAAAGGGAAAACAGTTTTAGACATACGTGACTGGATTAGAAATCTCTATCTGAGAAAAAACAATTGTTAAGTCATGAAGCAACTCCACGTCAAAAAGGATAAGATAATGCCAGAATACATTGCATTATATCAAGTTATAATGTGCTATTTTAATTGCCAGTTCACTGCAGACTAAGTATAAAGCATACTGGTGTAAGCTGTCGCCAGTAATTAGCATGTAGTAAAATGTGACCCTAACAACAGTCCAGTTACAATAACTAAGTCAAAAGAAGTGACAACCGTTAGTGAAGTTGTCTATTAATTTCCTTATAAAAACATCCATGATTCTATTCAACTGTGAATAAAACTGTCATGAGTTTCTTTTCATACACAAATCTACTTCTCACCTTAATGAAACAATGTACAATGTATAATTATTTACTAAACTCTCAGTTTTATCAGTTAAATAATGAACGTAGAATATGTATTTAATGTTCAATGTTATAACATACAAGTTGACTGCAAAAATCCAGGTGAGCAAAAAATGATTTGGCAGTAATAATACTCACAGTGTATTCCAGGACAGCCAATCTAGAAGTTGGTAAAGGGACATTTGTTTATTAAGCATGTGCTATGTTTTAGGTTCTTGACAAGCATTACTTTATTCAATCACATCATCCAATAAGACAGATACAATTTTCCTCATTTTTCAGATGAGGAAATTAATCCTAGAATGTATAAATGCATTGTCACACACTGGTAATCTTTCTATGCGTCCTCTATATAAAAGATTTAGAGGAGTGCATGGCAGATAGTTAATCTTATTGTTACTATATATATATGAATCTTAAAACATATTCTGCCTCTTTCTACCTTAACATTATATCATGACTATCCCTATCTCATTAAATATTTATTCAACATGACTTTAGTGCTGGAATGCTTCACTACATATATATTTCATAACTTAATTTTTGACATTGAGGCTATTTCTATTTTTTCACTGATACAAATAATAGTACAATAAACGTTCTTCTAAAAAGATCAATTTTCAAACAGTAAAAAGGACCAGATTTGTATTTTCCATGGCTAGACCACAGGTAAGAACACATTTTATTAAGTGACCCAGAAGGCAATCGGAAACTCCAGGAAAAAACAGATTGACCAAAATAGGAAACATAATAATTGCACTCCACTTACAGTTCCAAAACATATTAAAATACTCGTGTTAAAAAATAAGTTGCTTTGAGTTTGCATATTCATCCGATAATATATTTTTATCAGCCACCCATAAATTCCTTATATCTGTCTATATCTGTCCGATATCAGTATTGAACAGATAGAATTTATTGGCTGTTAAAACTTGGGCATATTACCACATTCCTAATCTTAAATCTTTTAGTTTTCTCATAGTTATTGTATGAATTAAGTGAGAAAACATTTTAAGCACCAAACACAGAGCCAGGAAATGCTTCTTGAGAAAAAAAAAATCTGACAAAACAAATAGTAATAGCACTTATTAAACACAGATGAATGACAAGATGAAAAGTATTGTCAGTTAAGTGCTCTAGAGAAGGCATAATTAATTCGTGCTGGAGAAAGAGCCTGGGACTCAGAACGTGATGGAATTTAGATAGTTTGGGAGAAAAGGATAAAAAAGGAACACGAGGGCTTCTCAATATGAGTAAAAGAATGTAGTAATTATGGAGTCTCACTTTGGCATGGACTTCACTTTGAATGACTGGGATGGAAGATCTATGTCCAGTGAAGTGGGAAATTAAAGTGAAAAAGGTAGATTGGGGCAGATTATTGAGGGCACTCATTAGTAAGTCAAAAAGTTTACACTTTACTTGTGGGTTTTGATTACCTAGGAACATTTTTGAGGTGTGTTGTGTCAGGAAAATTAGCGTAGCCACAAAGGACATAGCTTAGACAGGGAGATGAGAATTAGGGCGTTCAATCGGACCCATCATGAAACAGGTGAGAGGCGAAGTAGTATTGACTCCATCATTACAGCCTGTTAACAGAGGACATAGAAAACATCATTGGGCACTGTGGCCCACTGTGGCCTCCTGTAGGACTGCGTGATGACTGTGGGCTAAGCAGTCCTCTTAGTTGGTCCCGAGGCGTGTCTAGTTTAGGAAAGCGCTGAGCCCTAAAGGCTCAGGAATTTGAGGGACCTTGTCGGCTCACATTTAATTTTCCACGACTGCGAAACCTCAGTGCCAAGGAGTGTCAACCCGAAGCTTTGGAGCTGGAGCCCCCGGACTCAGACCGGCTCAGCCCCTCCCCGTCAGAGGTGGGTACTGAAAGCCCAACACAGCGTGGTCGTAGGAAGAGGCTCCTAAGGTGTCCACTGGCTTCCCCTCTAGCTCTCTTTCTACAGCCATTTCTTTTAACTGAGCTCTCCTTTCCCTTTGATACCTCGTTAATGAATGAATAACCTTTTGGTAAAAATATCACAGGTAAATCTGAGTTCGAAGGAAGGAATTAAATGACAGGAAGCTCCTCAGACTCTTCCGCCCGCCAGGTTGCAGCCCGAGGCCCCGCGCAGAGAGGGACCGCGCGCACCGCGGGGGGCGTGGGCAGCGCGTGCGCTGGTGCGCAGTGGGTGCGCGCGCAGGCGAGCGGACCGCGCGGGCCCCCAGCCACGTTTCCCGGTCGCCATGACGACCGGGCGTCCCGCAACGGCGGTGAGGGCGAGTCGTTGAGGCTGTGAGGTGAGCCAAGTCCCTCCAGACCTCGCCTGGCTCTTCTGGGCCGCAACGGAGAGTGACCCAGCTCCATCAGAACAGGGACTATGAGAAAATGGTCGGGCAAACGAGGAGTAAGCTCAAAGAAGCGGCTCCAGAGCCCAGTCAGTCTTCCCGAGCCATGCAGTCCAAGCGGCGGCGCCGGGCCACTGGAGCCGGGGAGCCGGAGATGGAGGAGGAGCCGCAGAAGGAGGCGGAAAAGCCGGAGCTGCCGCTACAGCCTCCGCCCGTAGGGCGCGGGAACCTGCCTGGGGGAGCACGGGACTACTCTCCGCGGAGGATGCGAAATCTGAACGCGCAAAATTGCTTGCAACTGGAGGTGGTCGCCAGGACTCTTTTTCTTGGCCGCTTCCAGTTCCTCCACTTTCTTCTAGAGCAGCTCCGCGAAAAGGTGCACGTCTTGCAGATGCGCCGTTTTTCCAGCAGGACCACTTTCGGCATAGGTGAGCAGAACCGGCGGGGGGAGCCCTCGGAGGGAGCCCGAAGGCGCGGCGCGCCCCACGCCCCTCCAGCCAGGGCCCGGGAGCTCACGGCTCCGACGCAGGGACTCGCAGCCTCTTTCCTTTTGAGTTTCAAGATTTTAAGTGGTTTTCAGTCTGGAAGATCAATTTAACAAGCAAGCGTTTGCAGGTGCCTCGCAGCAACATTGTCCTTGGAGAATTTCTGACAAGAATCTCCAACTTCCTTAGTTATTGTCTTAAAACTTTTAAACAGTTTTTTGACATAGTGGTCAAAATCTGGGCTGCCAGTTAATTACAATTTGTAACAATAATTGGCCAGCCCTTGAGGGACAAGACCTTATGTTCCTTGGCGCCCTAATAAAGCAAAATAAAACTTTTAAAATTGAGATCATTAATAATGGAAATAGGATCAAATAGGCACCATGTTGGTACCCATTTACTTTCATCTTGCTGTGGAGCTTCAAAGCCTAAAGCTGTGGGATTTTTCTTATTTTAAGGGCTTGAAAGGTTTTTCTTCTTCCACTTACACCACTTACACCCCTCATTTTCTTTCACCTTAAAAGGGAACTTAAATGTTGTTGCTATTAAAATTTTAGTTTTGAACCTTTTCCTTGGTCAGACTGGTTTGCTGATAAGAACCGAAAGATAGATAAATGTCTCTTTCTACAATTTATTGTATTTTTTTCTCCACTATGAGTTGACTGCTGCTGTCAAACTAGAATAAGTTCCTACACTTGGAGTGTTAATAATACTTGAGAAATAATACGAGTTCACATTTAGATTTTATCAGATTTCTAATTACACATACAGACATAGCCAACATCCACAGTCAACATGGTCTTGGAAACCAAGCCGTGGCAAATACAACCTCCAGTGTACTGAGCTCTGACACATTGGAGGCCCTGGAGAGTTGGGTGAAATAATGACTGGGTATATCGTGTTATGGGTGTTCAGAAGAGTGAACAAATATTTTAGGGGGAGAAGTGACATCAGGGAAGATTTCTAGAAAAAGGTGGGATTCGAATTGTGACAAAGGCTAATGTTTAGATGTATGGATCTGAAAACAAGTATTAGAGGTTCACAGCATGGTTCTGTCAGTTATAGAAGAAAACATGAAAGCAAAGTTAGGCTGAAATGAAGGTCATGAAAAGAAGAGGGAATAGAAAGTAAATCAAGAGGGTGGATTGGGATTAGCTGTGGAGAATTTAATTCAGGGCTAGGTGTAAAGTTCAAGTACTTGAACTTAATTCCATAGGAAGGCATTGATTGATTCCTTTTTTTCTTTAAAAAATGTTTAATGAGATGAAATCCTGTGTATAACTCAAAGTTAACCATTTTAAAGTGAAAATTCAGTGGCACCAAATGATTTTTAAATAGGAGAGTCACATGATTAAAACTGTGCTTCAGAGAGATTATCTCAGCAGCAGTATGTAAGATGGACTGGAGATGACTGAGAAAGGTAGCTGAAAGAAGAGTTGGAAAACTATTATTGGAATCCAGGCAGTAATGGTCTTAAAGAGGGTAGCCACAAAAGGAATGGAGAGCAGAAGACAAGGTGAGAGTTAATGGAGATAGATTGATAAGTAGGTGGTGTGGTGAAGGAAAAGGGGAGCAGAGAGGGAGAAAGTTCAGAATGAAGGTCATAGATTTGGGAGTTATCTGTGTTGTGGAAGTGATAGTTGAAACTTTTTAAGGTTGAGTGCAATTGCCAAGGGATACCAATGTGGAGAGAGAAAAGTGTGCAAAGTAAAGATATTTGGGGAAGACTTTCAAAATTTAGTTTTAAGAGATGAGAAGAAAAGGAAAAACAAGCATATACGGTGATAGTGGTCAGAAAAATAGAAGAACTGAGAGAGTTGATATTATGAAAAATGTGAAGGAAAGAGATCTAAGAATCTGACCAAATGCTACAGAAAGATTGTAAACCACAAGAATTGAAGGCTATTGACTGTGATAACTGAAAACTCATTGGTCATTTTAAAGAGTTGTGGAAACTTAGAAGAATGACTAAGAATCTTGTCATTTAATGGGGGTGGTGTATCTCACACAGTTTGAAGGGTTGTCAGATCACAGGAAGTGTTTTAATGTCTAGGAGAAGCAAAGGCTAAAGTAAAGAATCAAGGTGAGGGTGAAATTGAGGTTCAAGTTCCACAAGGGGCTAATCAATGGGGCAAAGTCTCAGCAGATTTGGGAGGGATAGAATTTAAGGCACAAATTTGAGAGGCTAATTGTGGAAAAAGGGGATGAATCCTCTTCTCAGGTAGAAGTGTTAGAAAAGTCAGGGTTACCACAGAGAGAAATGCTTAGAGAAATGTTGAAGTGGACATAAAAGTAGTTGGGAGTGCTGGTGTAAACTGGTCATTGTTTAGTTGCAGCACCAGCAAATTGAAACCAATAGACTCTCACCAAAGATTATAGGGAGAGGAATTTTATTTGCCTATGGGGAAACTCAGCAGGCCATCAGCCTTAAAGCACTAATAGCCACTGCCCCCCAACCTCATTCCCATAAAGCCCTTTTATGCAACTTTAGTTCGGTTTCAGTTATAGAGTTACAGTTATAGATGTTAGGTCATGGGGAAAGTTTTTAGCTAGCATGCAAAAAATCATAAAGAGTTAATGATTTTATTTTTCAAGAAACCAGAGTGCTATTGTGTGTTACATAGTTTCTTTCAAGGTTATTTCTGTATAGTGTAAAGTTGTGGGGTTTTTTTGTTTTTTTGTTTTGTGGTGTTTTTGTTTTTGGAGGCTGAGTTCTTCTGCAGCTGTCTGCTGCATTTTCAGGACTACCAGCAAGTGTAAAATTTATTTTTCCTTCCTCATTTCCCCTTTTGAGACCCCATTAATCATGAATGGAGTCTTATCCCATTCATTATCTGGATTTATGACTATTTGATGATAAGGTTGACCCATGAACAATTTGCTTGCATTCTTTTTTATCAGAACTGTAAAGACTGTGCTTTTGAGAAATTGAACAAAGATAGGTAATAGGCAAGGCAAAAGTGAACATTCTCTGATTATAAAGAGAAAACTTAGAGTTTTAAATCTTCTTAGTTTAGAAAACCAAATCAAGAATCCGGGTTAAACCCACTTTACACTTGTACAGGTACATGAGCTATTTTAGTTACCTTTTTAGTTATAACTTCAATTACTTGTCTTTCATCATCAATCTGTAAGCAGCAGTTAGTTAAATTGAATTTTCTACGCATTCTTCTTTCAGCTGCCGGGAAGTAGTCTAGGGCCAATCAGTTTTGATAAATAGCATTTCTCATTTGGGTTTCTTCACGGGCTAGTAGGATTAAGACTTTGCTGGTTTCATTTGCTGTTATTTTTAATACTGCTTGTAATCAGATAATTCAATTTAACATATATGTATTGGGAGTCTGTACCTTCATGACCTATTTTCAGCCCAGGTGGCTGGACCATAATATTGAATTATTCACTCAGGAGGCCATTCATTGTTACTTTAATCTCCTATTATCACATCATGTTTTTGTCTTTGCAGTTCAGAAGAAGCATAAACTGGAAAACTTAACAGTTTTTAAGTCTCTAGGGGCAGTAGGAAGAAGGAAGGTTTGATCATACCTATTATACAACTTACATACCATCTATCAGGAAGCTTAATGTAGGCTTGGTGGAGCCTAGTAGAGGCCAGTTGGAGCTAACCCATTTGATTCTGATCCCTGGATAGTCCCAAGCTGCTTTGAGCTTTGGGAATCTATTCGGGGGGTTTAGTTAAGTTACGTGTTTGCTCTACCAGTTAATGTTGTTACATTTTTAGGCCTAGACACGATAGCTTCCTTACCAGGATAGCAAAGTTGCTTTCTTCTCTGGCTAAACAGTATTGACCTATGATGGACGTTTTTAGTGTCCATCTGTATTCAACAATTGAGCATTATTTTCTACCAGGTGGAAAACAAGTTTTTAGTTTTAGGAGGAAGGTCTGGAACAGGTTGTTGTAATTTATTATAGAAAGCCTGGTACCTAGGTTTTGAGTTTGTTTTTTTGGACCATTTTACTTTTAATTGTTATACTTATTATGATAGGTTCCTTTCCTTGTACATTTATTCCTAACATAAGATCTTCACTTTGGTTATATTTAGTATCAGTGGATTATAATTTTTCTAGTTATAACCAAGGGAAGGAGGTTTACTGTCTAATGAGTAACAAGTTCCTGTTTTATATGATGAAGGGGCTTTTCTTTTTATTAAATGTACTATATTGTTGTCATTGGGATTAATCTATGTGGCCAAAATTATACATGGCCAGTACATACATCCTGCACAAGCACCCAGTCTGTGACATATGTACTTGTCTTTCTTCCTATTGAGTTTCCTAAGATGGATTCAGTATCAATCTTTTTTTTTTTTTTTTTTTTTTATTGAATGGTAACTGTGTACATTGATGCA